ACACAGTGAAACATTAAAACTAGAACAAATGCATATTTTTGTGATTTTATTTCAATTATATTTTAAATGCATAATTAAATCCTAGATATGCATACAACATGTATTTTTATTTTAGTTTCGTTTAATTATAACAAAGCAAACATTTACGGACAAACACAAACAATTAATAAACGCCACATAAATTCTAAAAATTGCATACTAAGAGAATTTTTATTTTTTGATTTATTTTAGAGCATTTTTCGTGATGCAAAAATCACGTGCTCACAAATAGAACCTAACTGATGGCTAGACAATTAAGCAATAATCAGAGAATTGAAAAAACAACCATATATTGGTGAATTATACTTAAGGTTAAATCAACGTTAAACAACAATATTCATGGCTAAATCACAACCCCAAGACTATGAGTTTTAGCCACTCATGATACTATCAAACAATTTCATAAGTGTTGGATAATTGAAAATACTAAGAAAAGCTAAAGAAATCTAAGATATCCTTGCTTCCGAATATTTTCCGTGTGTATTCTTTCTTCAAAGTGGCGTCTCCCCTCTCAAAATAAGCTTAGTCTTGCTTTTATACCGTTGGGTAGGTCTAGGGCCGAAATAACCTTGTTCTAGTCAAACTTGGATAAAATCTCGTCACCAGCGTCCAGGGCAGCGTGAGGCGCTGGCTTGTTGAAGTTTCTGCCAATTGCGCCACAAGTGGCGTGGGGCGTTGCCTGTGGCACTGAAATTCACATTTTTCATTTTTTCTCCGTTTTTGCTCTAATCTCGTACCTTTTCCTCCCAATTGCTTTCTGATGATTCATACACATAAAAATATCACGAATAAATATAAATCAATATATTTTNTATATATACTTTAAGCTAAATATCAACACCCCACACTTAGACTCTTGCTCGTCCTCGAGCAATGAGACTATAAACTATATCCCAACTACGTACAAATCTCAACTATAGAGGAGCACTTCAATTGTTTAACCATACACTCTACCCTTGACTAGGCTCGACACCGGCAATCAAGCATGAACATACAAAATTCACATTCTTCCCGTTTTAAACATGTCCAAGTCTACTATTTCAATTCAAACAACCTATTCGTAACCATCCAACCTCAAGATCTGACTCGTTACCACTAAGCACCCTCAACTCGCGCGCTCACCCAACAAGAGAAGTTTACAACATTACCAATCCTTCATGAGATCATGCGCCCTCACCAACAAACAAAAGTGTGAATAAAGAATAATCCACACATTCAAGTGTTCTTTGAACATAATTTAAGGACATCACACAATTGAACAAAATTCGCTTACTCTCACAAAGAATTCATGTGCATCCCATGGTTGTACCATAAGCTTGCTTGTAGAGTACATCTCTAATAATCTAAGCTAGCCACATCTAGGATCAATTAGGACTTTAAAGTTGTAAAGTAGGCTAAGGAACGGGTAGGATACGTTTAAGAATAGTGATTAACCCTCCTAAGCACTTTAATATACTACACTCACAAATCGAGCAGATATTCTTCTCAGCCAATTCACTCGCCACAAACCATATACAACATAGCCCTTTTTTCCATTAAGCACTTCTTTACTCCCACTAGCATAAATTAGTAAGATTAGGAGGTGTGTGTTTTTCTACATTATTTTACTATTATTTTTTTTTCTTGCAACTTTTTTCTTTCTCTTTTTTTTTCTACACACACTTCATACATTAAAGTTCATCAGCTAGTGACCTTTTTTTCACCTTTAGTGCACCAAAGGGCCCTTCCATGGTTCCACTCGAAATATACTCCCTAATATCTCACCTTACTTCTTTTAGCGACTAAGTGTCTTAGGAGGTAAAGGTCCAACAATGTCAAATTAAGAACAAAATAGGGGTACGGCTTGTAATGTGGTTGCCAAAGAAAAGGTTTATAGGCTCAAAGGGGATAGCAACGAAAAATTTTATCTTCAAGTGCCAAGCATATCTATGATAAAGCAAGAAGTGCCTACATCATCTCCTAGATTAGCATAACTTAACAATTTTGCTTCCATTAACACATAGGGCAAGTTCTAGACTACAGAGAATAGCACAGAGAATCACAATTCCTCACATACACATTACACATGACACAATCAAGACGGTTCTGTTCAACTCTCAAGTTAAGAAAGCACACATAATCGAGTAATTTTAAGCTATATTGCACTATATCGCATACAAGTCAAAAATTTGAGAAAAGGCCTCAGAAAATAGGCTATTTACTTTACTCAGGCATCATAATTCAAATCAAATGTACGGGAAGATAGAATGCATGTCATAGCCTAATGTGCCAACACCAAACATGTCACTAGGTATCTCAGAGCAACTCAGTTTCTTCCTAACCTACTCCGAAACAAAAAATATAAAGTACTCGGTTTGAGCTACACCCTTGAAAAAGAACCTGCGCCCAAAGAAAAACTAAGGGATACTACCTAACTATAAAAAATTATTTTGGTATTTTTTAATCGGACTTTATCCCTCAAGAAAATTGTCCAATAGATCCATCATTGGAAAAAGTCTGAGATTTTTCTAATTTTTTCTTTTTGTATTTTTACATTTTTTTCTTTTTCTTTTTTTCTCTAAAACAAACTAAACTAAAAACTAGACTAAGTAATAAAAAACTAATAAAAGAAACAAATTGATACAAGTTATACAAAATACATCACAAGTAGTAGTTCTCCCACCCCACATTTAGCATATGCATAGTCTCTGATGCATGTAAAAATGTAAAATAGGGTAGGGTGAAAAGAAAACTCTCTGTCATTCGGAGTCCTCCTCCTCAGCATGCTCGCCATCTGCAGCTCCAAGCACATCATCATCAGGTCCTAGAGGCACTAAAGCCATGGCCCCGTGACATCATCACTAATCTCATTCTCCGTGTCGGAGCCTTTGATAGTGTTTGCGTCCTCCAACGAATGAACGGGGCTATAAGGTGCAATCACCAACATATCGTTGGAAAAATTCGACAAATTAACGCGTAAATACATACATTCCTTGTTTGTCACTCCCATCCTTCTCATGAATACATTTAAAGAGTTATAGAGGTACCTGTTGAAATTCTCGTCTCTTTCGTTATGTGTTGCCTGAGTGAGCCTAGACGTAGTCTCCAACAAGGATGTGATCGAATGGTTGTTGTGTATTCAGTAGAGACAAATATTCCAGGGTTATGATCGATTCATCAATCATATTGTGTTCTAGTTAACTCTCCTTTAATACAATTCACTTATGGTTTCTAATTAATCGAACAATTGCTCTCGTAGCATTCTCACGAAATACTACTTGCCTATTCAAAAAACATTAATGCATATATTCCTATGAATTCAATATATTACGAACGCATTAAGATTACGATATTTAATTAAGCATGGTGACTAGGTATATTCCTATCCTAACCACAAATCCGCCCCCTGCACCAATGTTAAGATCGTGCTCTCTTCAATTCTTTTCTAATCTAAACATGGCTTTCCCAAGCATAGCATAGATAGTAAATAGAACTTAACTGCTGGTCAGACAATTAAGCAATTAATCACAAAATTGAAGAAACAACTATATATTGGTGAATTATACATAAGGTTATCAACGTTAAATAACAACATTCACGGTTAAATCACAAATCTAGAACTATGGGTTTTATCCACTCATGATACTATCAAACAATTTCATAAGTGTTGTATAATTGAAAATACTAAGAAAAGATGAAGAAATCTGAGATATCCTTGCTCCTAAATGTTTCCCGTGTATATTCTTTCTTCAAAGTGGTGTCTCCCCTCTCAAAATAGGCTTAATCTTGCTTTTATATGTCACGGCCCAAATCATAACCTGTCGTTATGGCACCTATCGATGGTACTAGGCAAGCCAACATTTTCAAAATACCTCCAATATTTCACAGAAAGATAAATCAATTTTTTTAAATAAACAGAATTTTCACAAACAGGGGTTAAACCCAAATACAAGTGAGGAAAATAGCCCCAATATCGGGGTGTCACTAAACCATGAGCATATAAACATAATCAGTCTGGAACTAAAACCACTATCACAGTCTGAATCCAAATAAAACGAAAGAAAAGGTGAGGAAGAAGAAAACAAGGTCTGCGAATGCCAGGAAGCTACCTCGCTATCTCCAACAGTCAACTATGAGAACTATCAACACCCTCCGCGTCCAGAAATTCTTGGATCTGCATACGAAGTGCAGGGTATAGCGTGAGTACAACCAACTCAGTAAGTAACAATGATAAATAAGGAACTGAAAGATAGTGATGAGCTATATAGTTATAATTCATTTTTAGTAGTCTCAACTAAAAAATAGACATGTTTCCCAAAGCCAATAAATCAAGTCAAATCAGTTTGTTTATGCCAAGTTCAAGTAAAATTGGGTAAAGATATCTTTCACAAGTTTTCAAAATAGTGATTTAAGGCAACTATGTGTAGCAATAATGAAATCATATACAGCCTCTTAGGGCAACAATCACACAGTCCTCCCGTTCACTCCAACCTCACAATCACTAATTCCTCACAGTCACTCATTCCTCACGATCACTAAGCACTCGACACTCAACACTCACACTCAATGGTACCTACTCTCACTAGGGGGTATGTACAGACTCTGGAGGGGCTCCTACAGTCCAAGCGCTATATCAAGACAATCATGACATAAATCAATAAAACTTGTTGTGGCTTGTATCCCGATACCATAAATATTCTCACAATCAGGCCCTCGTCCTCACTCAGTCATCAATCTCTCCAATCTCTCGGGTTCTCAAAAATTAGGAAAAATCAGACCAAACAGTAATAACATGATGTATCAATAAGAATAACAGAGACTGAGATATGATATGCGAGTAAAAACGGCCTTTGTGGGTCCCAACAGTACCAACACATAGCCTAAACATGCTTTCTAGCATGAATTACGATCAAATTTCTATGACACATAGAGAGCATATAGCTAACAACAAGTTATTCAACTTTACAGTTTCACGGAATGGACTAATTCACAATTCCCACGGTTCACTCCCACATACACGTCACCTCCAAAATAATCACATAACACAAAATCCGGGGTTTCGTACCCTCATGACCAGATTTAAAACATTTACTCACCTCAGTCCGAGCAAAACTCTACTCCAAAATGTCTTTGACTCGCGAGTCGGCCTGCAAATGCCCCGAATCTAGCCACAAGCAGTACAATACAATCAATATAGGCTAAAGGAATCAATTCCACAAGAAAAATATGAAATTATAGCCAAAATCCGAAATCGGCTCAAACCTGGGCCCACGTCTCAAAATCTGACAAAAGTGACAAAACCCAAAAGCCTATTCACTTACGAGTCTAACCATATGAAATTAACCAAAATATGATACTAATTGGTCATTCAAATCCCCAAAATTCATTCTCAAAATTCCTAGCCTCAAACCCCCAAAATTTACCTAAAAACACACACCAATTAGGCGGGAAATCAGTGGGGAAACATCATTATTGAAGAAAAATGAACATAAGGAACTTACCTCAGTAATCTATTCAAAAACCCTCTCAAAAACATCCAAAGTCTGAGCTCAAAATGATGAAAATCGTGAAAAATCTCGAAGCCTCGTATTTATATATTCTTCCCAAGTCTCCCGCACCTGCTAGTAAAATTCCTCTTTTGCGCTCCCGCTACTGCGGTGAAAGTTCCACTACCGTGCAAGTCACTTTCCCTCACTACCTCTGCTTCTGTGATTCCCTATCCTCATCTACAGCTCCGCAGGTGCGGGAAATTCTTCGCATCTGCGACTCCTGCCCCTCCTAGCCTTGCTCGCTTCCGCGGCCTTCCGTCCCGCTTCTGCAGGATCTCACCTGAAGAGAACAATTTTCATCTATCTTTAAACTTTAAAACTTGGTTCGTTAATCACCTGAAATCAACCCGAGGCCCTGGGGACCTCAACCAAACATACCAACAAGTCTTATAACATAATACGAACTTAGTCGAATCCTCAAACCACCTCAAACAAAATCAAAAACACGAATTACACATGGATTCAAGCCTAATGAATTTTGAAATTTTCAAATTCTACAAACGACGTCGAAACCTATCAAATCATGTTTTGACCTCAAATTTTGCACACAAGTCGTAAATGACACCACGAACCTACTCCAACTTTCGAAAATTCAATCTGACCCCGATATAAAAAATTCCATACCTGGTCAAACTTTCCAAAATTCCAACTTTCGCCATTTCAAGCCTAATTCTACTACGGACCTCCAAATCACAATCCGCACACGCTCCTAAGTCCAAAATCACTTAACAGAGCTAACAGAACCATCAAATTTTCAAATCCGAAGTTGTTTATACATAAGTCAACATCCGGTCAACTTTTCCAACTTAAGCTTTCAATGAAGAGACTAAGTGTCTCAATTCATTATGAAATCACTCCGGACTCAAACCAACCAACACAGTAAGTCATATAAAAGTTGTAGAACACAAAAGGAGTAGAAAATGGAGGAACGAGGCTACAACTCTCGAAACGATTGGCCGGGCCGCTACATCCTCCCCCTCTTAAACAAGTATTCCTCCTTGAACGAGTCTAGAAACATACTTGGAGTCATGTATATGGTCGGATATCTGCTCCGCATCTCCTGCTCGGTCTCCCAAGTGGCCTCCTCCACGGGCTGACCTCTCTATTACACCTTCATTGAAGTTATATCCTTTGACCTCAACTTTAGAACCTGCCAATCCAAAATGGTCACTGGTTTCACATTATAAGTCAAATCACCATCCAACTGAACCGTGCTGAAATCCAAAACATGAGATGGATCGCCGATATACTTCTGGAGCATAGAAACATGGAATACTGGATGTACACTCGGCAAGCTAGGTGGTAAGGCAAGCTAGGTGGTAAGGCAAGCTTGTAAGCCACTTCCCCAATCCTCTGAAGTACCTCAAAAGGCCCAATGAATAAAGGGCTCAACTTGCCCTTCTTCCTGAACCTCATAACACCCTTCAAGGGTGAAACCTTCAGCAGAACCTTCTCCCCAACCATGTATGACACATCACGTACCTTCCTGTCGGCATAATTCTTCTGTCTAGACTACACAGTGTGAAGCCGATCCTGAATTAATTTAACCTTGTCTAAAGTATCCTAAACCAAGTCAGTACCCAATAGCCTCGCCTCCCCTGGCTCAAACCAACCCTCGAGAGATCTACACTGCCTCCCATATAAAGCCTCATACTGAGCCATCTGAATGCTCGACTGACAGATGTTTTTGTATGAAAACTCCGCGAGTGGCAGAAATTGGTCCCTTGAACCCCCGAAATCAATGCCACAAACACCTAGAATGTCCTCCAATATCTGAATAGTACGTTTGAACTGTCTATTTGTCTGAGGGTGAAATGTTGTGCTCAACTCAACCTGAGTGCCCAACTCTCACTGCACGCCTCTCCAAAACTGTGATGTAAACTGCGTGCCTCTATCTGAAATGATAGAAACCGGCATACCGTGAAGGCGAACAATCTCTCGGATGTAAATAGCAGCCAACCGATCTGAAGAATAAGTAGTACTTACTAGAATGAAGTGCACAGACTTGGTCAGCCGGTCCAAATCACCCAAATAGCATCAAACTTCCTCGAAGTCAGTGGGAGCCCAACTACGAAATCCATGGTGATCTGCTCCTACTTCCACTCCGGAATCTCCATCCTCTTAAGCAAGCCACCCGGTCTTTGATGCTCATATTTTACCTGCTGACAGTTGAGACACCGAGCTACAAACCCAACCATATCCCTTTTCATCCTTTTCCACCAATAGTGTTGTCTCAAATATTGGTACATCTTCGCGGCACCCGGATGAATGGAATACCGCGAGCTGTGGACCTCCTCAAGAATCAACTCCTGCAGCCCATCTACATTGGGCATACATATCTATCCTTGCATCCTCAACACCCCATCATCTCCAATAGTAAAATCTCTGGCATCATCGTGATGAACCTTGTCCTTGAGGACAACTAAATATGGATCATTATACTGGCGCTCTCTGATGCGATAAAATAAGGAAGACCTAGATACCACACAGGCTAGAACCCGAATGGGCTCCGAAACATCTAACCTCATGAATTGGTTGGCCAAGGCCTAAACATCAACTACAAGAGGTCTCTCACCAACACGAATGAATGCAAAACTACACATACTCACTGCCTTCCTACTCAAAGCATCGGCCACCACACTGGCCTTCCCCGGATGATTTAGAATTGTAATATCATAGTCCTTTAGCAGCTCCAAACACCTCTGCTACCTCAAATTTAGATCCTTCTTTTTGAACAAGTGCTAAAGGCTATGATGATCAGTAAATACCTCACAAGATACACCATAGAGATAGTGCCTCCAAATCTTTAACGCATGGACAATGGCGGCCTACTCCAAATCATGAACAAGGTAGTTCTTCTCATGAGGTTTCAACTGGCGTGAAGCATAAACAATCACTCTACCCTCCTGCATCAAAACATACCTAATACCGAGAAGCATCACAATACAGTGTATAAGAACCTGAAGTTGATGGTAGAACTAGAACTGGAGTTGTGGTCAAGGTAGTCTTGAGTTTCTTAAAGATCTCCTCACACTCGTTTGACCACCTGAAAGGAGCACCCTTTTTGGTCAATTTGGTCAAGGGCAATGCGATAGACAAGAAACCCTGCACGAACCGATGGTAATAACTAGCCAAACCAAGAAAGCTCTGAATCTTCATAGCTAAGGATGGTTTGGGCGAACTCTGAACTGCCTCTATCTTCTTTGGATCCACCTGAATAGCCTCACTAGACACCACGTGACCCAAGAACGCGACTGAACCGAGCCAAAACTCACACTTGGAGAACTTGGCATAAAGCTTCTCTTCCCTCAACTGTTGTAACACAATCCTCAAATGCTCAATATGCTCCTCCTGGATACGAGAGTACAACAGGATATCATCAATGAACATAATAACAAATGAGTCGAGATAAGGCTGACATGCACTATTCATCAGATGCATGAACGCTGCTTGGGCGTTGGTCATCCCAAAATACATCACAAGGAACTCTTAATGACCATAACGGATCCTGAAAGTTGTCTTTAGAATATCAGAGTCCCGAATCTTCAACTGGTGATACCCAGACCTCAAATATATCTTGGAGAACACCCTCACTCCCTAAGTTGGTCAAATAGATTATCAATACGCAGCAAAGGATAGTTGTTCTTGATTATGACTTTGTTCAACTACCTATAATCAATGCACATTCTCATAGTGTCATCCTTCTTCTTTACTAACAGGACCGGTGCACCCCAAGGTGACACACTAGGCCTAATAAATCCCTTATCAAGGAGTTCCTGAAGTTGCTCCTTCAACTCCCTCAACTCAGTCGGTGTCATACGGCGCGGAGGAATAAAATAGGTTGGGTGCCCGGCACCAAGTCAATACCAAAATTAATGTCCCTATCGGGCGGCATGCCCGACAGGTCTACAGGAAACACATCCAAAAATTCTCGCACCACCAGAACAGAATCAATAGTAAGGGTCTTTGTACTAACATTCCCCACAAACGCAAAATAAGATAGACAACCCTTCCCAACTATCCATTGGGCCTTCAAATATGTAATCACTCTACTGGGAATATAGTCTAGAGAACCTCGCCACTCAACCCGTGGCATTCCCGGCATCACCAACATCACTATCTTAGCGTGATAATCCAAAACAATATGACATGGAGACAACCAGTCCATACCCGTTCACGTCAAAATCAACCATACTAAGCAACAATAGATCAACTCTAGTCTCTAATCCCCCAACAGTCACTGCACATGACCGATATACACGATCTACAATAATTGTATCGCCCACTGGTATAGATATATAAATATATGAAACTAGAGACTCACGGGGCATATCCAAATAATGAGAAAAATACGATAACATATATAAATATGTGGAACCAGGATCAAATAATATAGAGGCATTTATGTGGAAAATTGAGACTATACTAGTGATTACTGCATCTGAAGCAACAACATTTGGTCTGACAGGAAGAACATAGAATGGGGCCTGACTGCCACCTGATCGGCCTCCCCCTCTAGGGCGACCTCTAGCTGACTAGGTCACATCCCGAGCTAGTTGATTGGCTGGTGTAGTAACTGGTGCAGAAGATGCAGTCTGACTCCTCTATTGCACTAGACCTCCTTGACGACGAGGACACTGCCTCCACGTATGTCTAAAATCCCTGCACTCAAAACAACTCCCTGGTGCTGGTGATAGGGACTAAAGGGAACCCTGAGCACTAAGATAACTGGTAGAAGGACATGTCATAGATGAGCCCTAAACCGATGGATCATGGGACGAACTTTGATCTAGAAGGGCACTGAGAGATGAGTGACCCTGATGAGAACTGTGTGAACCATGGCCAGATGATGTACCATTGTGAACTGGACGAGCCGTCTGAGCATGCCTAAAAGGATGACCCCTAACGTGGTATAACTAACCTCTAGAAGGAACCCCAATCAAACCACCTGATCTACAAGACCTCTTGGCCTCCTCAACCCGCTCCTGGCTACGTACCATCTCTTCTATCGAGCAATGTCAACAACCTCATCGAAAGTAGCACCAGATACCCTCTCTCTAGTCATAATCACCCGCTGCTAAAATGTGAGGCTATCAATGAATCTTCTGATCATATCTCTATTAGTGATAACTAACCAGATTGCATGACGGGCCAACTTAGAAAACCTCATTCGTACTATGTCAAAAATATATCATCCTAACGTAACTACTCAAACTGTCTGTGCAGCTCCTCTCTACGCGACTACGTCACGAACTTCTCCAAAAAGAGAACGGTGAACTCCTGCCAAGAAAATGGTGTCACACCTCCTTTTTACCTACACCCCCGTAAGGGGGTATATAAGGGAGTTTTTTCCAACTTAAAGTGACAATCGAAACAGGATTATTTTTATTAAAATTCAGAGTCGCCACTTGGGATAATTTTATGGTGTCCCAAGTCACCTGTTCAAATCCCGAATCAAGGAAAAGATTGACTCTATATTACAGTCCGCGAACACAAAAATTCGGGTAAGGAATTTTGTTAACCCGGGAGAAGGTGTTAGGCATTCCCGAGTTCTGTGGTTCTAGCACGGTCGCTCAACTGTTATAATTGGCTTATTTACTTGATTTTAGTGCATGTTTTAGCCTATGGTGCCATTTTAACTTTAAACCGCTTTTGTTCCTTTTTGTAGAAAATTGCAACGTTATTAAAACATGTCTCAAACCACGTCATATAAATGCGCCCGTGGTCTTTGACACATTTTAACATCGTTGAGATTTGGATTTGGGTTATATAAATGCGCACCCGAATTTAGGAAGGTAATATTATTAAAATACGCGCCTAAAGTAGCTACGCATTTGCAACTCTGCGAGGGACATGGAAATTCGACTAAATGCGCACCTCGATCTCTAAGGAATCATAATTATGTCACGCGAACGTGTCCACAATCTATTTTACCCGATCTATTTTAAAAAAATTCACCACCCGACCCATTTCTATTTTGCTTATTTTTATTACTACATATCACCAGGCATCTAGCTTTCTAGTCGAAAGATAAAGTAGATTATTAATTTTCTTCAAAGGAATCTTGTAACAAACTTATTAACAATCAACCCATATCGCCTTTAATAGCAGAGATGTATAGTTTCCGAATCTTTTCTTTGCTACAACAAATTGACAAATATTCCCAGCAAGGAATAATTCAAAGAGTTCTCTTTTAAACTATGCATCGCTAAAACAATTATTTTATACAGATAGAAACTTCATTACTTTGAAAATCAAGGAAAAATGAGAAGGGAAAAGAAACAAAAAAACGTAGGAGAAAGAAGAAGTTACTCTCTTAGAAGGTAATAATCAGTTCCATAATTACCACAAGAACGCAAAATGAAAGGAACCAACCTGAACTTCCGATGAAATGCAGCTTCATTCGCAATACTGTTTTGATGCTAGACTAACAGACACGGACTCGAACAGAAAACGTAGCAGCACCGGAACCTCGCCGAAATCTCGAACGGAACCGAACAGACCCAACTCGACTGGATTTGGGTGGGGATTTCGAACTGATTTGCACACTGATCTGGTGTAGTTTCAGGCAGCCATGGTCAGCTTTGCTTGAATTTCTGCTGTTGGGTGTTGCCGGATTTTCCCACAAGTTTGGTAGCGACTGGCGAGGCTGGTGAGGGGTGTGAGTGAAGAGGGTTGAGTTGAGAGGTCATCGGCTTCTGCTTCGTGGAGTGAAGAATAAGTTCAGGGGGTCGTTTTGAGAAGATGAAGTCGGGGACCAGGGTCGTTCGTGTAAGCTACGCAACTTTTGTTTTGCTTTTTCCCAGCGTTCTTCTTTTTTTTTATATAGATTTTTTAAGCCTTACTTTATAGGTAGAGTCTAGGTTTAGGTGTATTTTTGTGTATTTAGCCAATTAGTCCCTAGGTCTTTTTGTGTTAAGTCTTTAGGGTCTTTTTTATTTGTTTTTGTTCCAAAGAAGAGTCTAGAATAGTCCCTAGGCTTAATGGACTAATCCAAATTGGGCCAATAATTGAGATCTAAAACTCTTAAAATTGTGATCCAACACCTTAATTGACTCCTTTTAAAATAAGATAAAAATACTACACAATCCATGGCTAATCCTAATTAAACTAAACATGAAACTATTTTTGTGTTTTCGAAATTATATAAAGATAAAAATAAGGTACCATTTATATATTTTTTAAAATTTTTTTATGAAAAATACATAAACTAAAATATATTTATTATTATTATTTATTTATTTTTTTGTAGTTTTCATTTTTCTTGTAACAAAATAAAGTAAAAGATTAAAAATGAGTTGAAATAGCTATATAGGGCCTAAATTAAATTAAATATTTACGTGCTAAAATATGAAAAATCTTGGGGAGAGCCAAAAATCACATGTCTACAGCTGCCCCTCTTTGACCGGAAACGCGAAGAGTTTTCGGATAAAGAACGACTACACAAGTTTTTTGACCCGACCCTTATTTGGAAAGACTAAAACTAAGAGAAAAGGGGAATGTGACCGAGATCTGGTATCTGAGCTGCCTACATATCCTTGGCTATAAAGGAATCAGTCCACGTGTAGTTCCGAAGTGAGTGAGATGATGGAGTATGCCGAGGTGGACAACCAGTCGAGGTGCCGTTCCGCTGAGGTTCCGGTCCGCGGTCCCGTTGTTACATCAAAATCAAAATATGAAAAAGACTAGCTAAGCCTATCAACTACGAGTTACAAGATTCCTATCTATAAGTCTTGTGAAGCTTGATCTTGATTCTTGGTTGGTTCTTCATGCGGATCTTGATCTGAATATTGATGCTTGTCAGCCGCAAGTGTTGGTTCAATCTTCTTCAGCTTTTTCAAATCAAGACGGGACATGCAGAGCTTGTGACCTCAGCCATGTCTTGAGCAGCTCACATCTTTCATTAACTTCTGCATTTGGATTCACTTCTTGTCTTTCTTTTTTGTCTTTTTTTTTATTTTTTTTATTCTGGATAATGACTAACTTTTGTTGATCATCTAGGATTGCTGACTCGCATTCTTGACGCGAGCTTCTTTTATTGCTGACCTGAATTGCATTCTGAATTGAATTCCCCCTTTTTTTTCCAGGTGGGCGCCTGATTGCTGAACTTGAACTGTCTTCTCTGTTACTTGACACTATTTTCCCTTGTACCTTGAACCATTTTCCCTCGAAACTTGAATTGTCTTCCTTCGAAACTACTTTTCTTTGAAACTTGAACTATCTTCTCTTGTTCTCCAGGTGGGCGCCTGATTACAACAAAACAGACAAAACAAAAGAATTTTTTTCTGCCCCAATTTGCACTAGGAAGATTTGTGAGTTGTTAGCAAAATTGTAAACCACTTGTACTATTGATGCAATGATGAGAATAAACTAAAGAATAGATTAGGAAAACTATAAACTAAACTTGACTAAAGTAAAAAATCACCCTATTCTCCAGGCGCGGCCCCTTGATTTCAGGAAAACTAAACATTGATAATCTTAAGAAAACTAAAAATTACCTTTTTTTTTTTCAAATTCAGACTTCCTTTCTTTTTTTCAAAATATCCTAGGAGAAAATTCGTCAGACTAGGTTCTCTATCTTAGGAGAAAATTCATCAGACTAGGTCCTTTTCTCTGTTTTTTTTTTGTTTTTTTGGTATCTTAGGAGAAAGATTCATCCGACTAAGACGTTTATCCTAGGAGAAAGTTCATCAGACTAGGTCTTCTATCTTATGAGAAAAATTCATCAGACTAAGATTTTGATCCTAGGAGAAAATTCATCAGACTAAGATTTTGATCCTAGGAGAAAATTCATCAGACTAAGATTTTGATCCTAGGAGAAAATTCATCAGACTAAGATTTTGATCCTAGGAGAAAATTCATCAGACTAAGATTTTGATCCTAGGAGAAAATTCATCAGACTAAGATTTTGATCCTAGGAGAAAATTCATCAGACTAGGTCTTCTATCTTATGAGAAAAATTCATCAGACTAAGATTTTGATCCTAGGAGAAAATTCATCAGACTAGGTCTCTCTTTTTTCTTTTTTTTTTGTATCTTAGGAGAAAGATTCATCAGACTAAGATGATCTTAGGAGAAAGTTCATCAAACTAGGTCTTCTATCTTAGGAGAAAAATTCATCAGACTAAGATTTTGATCCTAGGAGAAAGTTCATCAGACTAGGTCTTTTTTTGTATCTTAGGATAAAGATTCATCATACTAAGATTTCTATCTTAGGAGAAAATTCATCAGACTAGGTCTTCTATCTTAGGAGAAAAATTCATCAGACTAAGATTTTGATCCTAGGAGAAAATTTATCAGACTAGGACTTTTTATCCTAGAAGGAAAAATGTGAAGATCAATGGCAAGATTTTATGCACAATAGCAAGACAAATAAAGGAAAAGATTTGAGAAACTTCCCTTTGTCAGCTCTTCTCATCTTTTCTTTTTATTCTTTTTTTTTTTGTTGTTTTTGTTTCATTTTTTTTTCTCTTTTTGAATTAGTTTTCTTGCACCGCTTTGTTCCTGTGTCACACAAAGAAACTTTGTCAGTTCTTAAAAGGTGGTGGTCGGTTTGTGGCCTTGAGTCTTGAGCATCTTGGCTTTTGCTCGATCAACTTGAGTCGGCTTCAAGAGATGTTTGCTCTGCATCAACCCTAATTGTTTCACACTCGGTACCATTGTATTTCTGGCTCAATCAGCATTATCCCAACTGGAGATCTTTTCTTAGATGATCTTTTCTGATATCTTGAATGACTTCCTGCTTTTGAGAAATTTGTTTGTCAGAGAGAATCACCAGTTATCTTCATTGCGCCAAGTAGGCTAACAAGAGTCTTTTTGGGGAAGCCTTTATATGAATCCTCAAGGTATATTGACAATAACAACTGAGTGCAAGCCAAATTTACTTTATGCAACTGAAAATCTGGTAGCAGATTTTGAAATCTTTTCTTGCTTGTTTTGACAAGGACTGACTCAGAGTGAAGGACACAAATAACGCAAAGAAACAAGTATTAACAAAAAATGCCCATGTCGGAAGGACGGAAGGAAGAGGCTTTTTTTCTTTCTTTTTTCTTTTTTTTTTTTCTTTTTTTTTCAATAACTAGCCTTAATGGTCATGACATGCATTTTGGACTTAGTGACTGATCTATCAAACTAATTCACTCTTCCCTTTTACTATTCTTATGACCTTTGAAGTCAGGCTTGTTTATGCTGATTCTTTGCACCAGCTTTATGACTCACTTTTCGACTACTGGTGCCCTGAGGAGTTTTCACCAACAAGTCTCTCTCATTTATTCGTCTCTGCTTGCCATCGCCTTACAGTGCCCGTGAGGGTTTTCACTAATAAGACTCTCTCATTTTTCTTATTCCTTTTCTTTTTCTTTCCCTCTTTTGCGAGAAACTCGACGATGTTCTACGTCGTGTGACAACTGTTGCTCATTGCATGCGTCTCTTGGCATTCTTAAAGGCATATTGGGAGGTCTTTATTTGGAAGGTTTTTGGATAGGGTTGGAAAGAAAGGTCTGCATGAAGGCTCAAAATAAACTCAAAATGAGGGGTTGTAGACTTACAACTCTTAGAATCAACTGTTTCAGAAAATGAAATAAAATCTTTGCCCCAGTTTCAAATGCTGGGGATTTTGGATTTTTCTATTTTTTTCTATTTTTTCTTTTTCTTCTAAATTCTTATTTGTTTGGACGGAACCGTGAGGCTGCCTACGTATCCTTATTTTCAAGGAATCAGGTCTAACGTAGTTCAAACATTTGGCCTAAACTGGTTTTCATCTTTCTTTCTGTTTTTTTCTCTTTTTTTTGTTTTTTTTTCTTTTCTTTTTCTTCTTTTTTTGTTTGCCCCTGCTTCTATTTTTTAGGGCATGGACCTTTCACAATTCTTTTTTTTTCACTTGAACTTTCTAAAAGCTGGCCCAGTTTGTACTCTTGGGGCATGGACTTTTTTTTACTCTAGACTTGATTCCAAAAGAGGGTAGTCAAAGAAAAATAACACAGACTCAAAAGGGGTAGCAAAGAATATAAAGTGTTTGGGTAGCAGAAAAAGGGCCTCCCAACCTCAAGAACATCAAACATGGTATTTTTTCGCGATCACAGCATTGACGAACATGTATGTCTTCTTGGTGTGCCGTGGTCACAAGATTCATCCCTTAGTGACGAACTTTCCAACAAACTTCAATTGGTTAAACATCCTCAAGCCCGATCTTCACAATGATTTGAAGGTGAATTTTACTCGACCTTAGTTCCAAAGTATTCCAACTCTTTATTCATCCTCAAAAGTATTTTTTTTTAGTTATCGAATTCCAGATTAAATCAGTTCCTAAGATCTGGCCAAAATTTTCGCATGCATGTCATGTCATTAGAACTAACGAGAAAAGAACTAGGAACAGAATGACACAAAAGGGCAAACTGTATTTTATTGAGTAAATGATGAAAGGGTTTGACAACTAAATAAGCAACCCAAAATACGAGTTACAACCCTAAAATAACCTGAATAATGAAAATAGCAACAGAACAGACAGACAAGACTCACACAAACAGAATGGAAGGATAGAAGGATTTGACTCAATAAAATAAATAAAATCTGGATCACAACCCTGAAATAACCCAGATAATAGAAAAAACATCAAAACAAGTTACCAAGATTCCTTCCTAGTGAGGAGGGAATGCCTTTTCAATTGCTAGGCTTGATATTTAGCCACAAATTTGCTCATCAGAATCAGCAGAGCCTTCTCCAATTTCAAAATCATTAACTTCAGTTAGCAAATTCTCGANTGGATCATTCTTTCTATTTCTCTTTTCAAATCCCGACAGCTTTCAACATTGTGCCCCTGGGCATTGGAATGGTATTCACACCTTTTA